TTCTTCTAAACCTATTCTTTTATAGATTCGAACTCTAATTAAAATATTATCTAATAATAATTCTAATAATAATTCTAATAATAATTCCGATTTCTCTAATTTCTTTAATTCTTTTTACTTTCTAATAATTCAAGAGCTTTTATAGTATATACCTCCTATATTAACTATACTAGCTTGTCCTATATTAACTACTTCTCTCGCTTCTGTTTCTTTATTAACTAAATTACTTTATAAATATATTTGTAAACCTATAAGAAAGCAAGTATCTCAGAACTACTAAAAGAAGAAGAAATAGTATAAGAAGAGTACTAATAAGAAGAAGAAAAAGGTAAAGACAAGAAATATAATATAATTAGTAAATATATAAATAATAGAAATTTAGAAGCTTATAATAGGAAATAAGTATATTATTAGTTTTCGGGCTTTACTAAAATTACTAATTAAATTATAGCTTTATTTTCTTCTTACCTCTCCTTTAATCTCTCCTTATCTCTCCTTTGAATTAGTCTTTCCTATATATAAAAATAGGGTAATTAGTCTAGTATACTTCTCGATTTAATATATAAAGATTAGTAGAATTATAGTTTTTAGTCAAATATATAATTATTATATTAGTAAAGCTATCTTGGCTCCTTATATATATCTTTAGTTTTGACTTGAAGTTTTTCTAATAGAATTTCAAAGCTTATTACGTAACTATATAAACCCCTACTAAGTAGTAATAATAGTTAAAAACGCGGCAGAATTAAGCTTATTAATCTGAAACCTTATATTCAATCTATCTGTCCCGAGATAGTTCGGGTATTATAGTAAGCTCTCCCCTAGAGAGCTCTTTATATATTATAGTAAGCTGCCCCTTGGGGAGCTCTATATATATTATAGTATACTATTTCTAGGAAGCTACCCTTTCTCTCTCTTAGAGAGCTCTTTATATATTATAATAAGCTGCCCCGTATAAAGCTGCCTTCCAAGGAGCTGCCCCTCTAAGCCCTTCCAGAAGCTATTTCCCAGATACTATTTCTCAGGGAGCTATTTTCCAGAGAATTCTTTATATATTATAGCGAGCTATTCCCTAGAGAAAAGGTATAAGAGGAAGGAAGATAATATAGATTTATTAAGATATGCCTCAAGAGAATATATGAGGCTCTGTAGTTACCTAAGGCGCTCTAGCTCGTACCTAGCGAGCTGCCCCTTAAGGAGCTATCTGGGAGCATCCCCCCCGAAGCTGCCTCCCCGCCCCCGCCCCCCCCTCCCAAGAGCTGCCCTCTAGGGAGCTCTTTATATCTTTCTCCCCCAGGAGGCTCTTTACGTACTGCAGTGAGCTGTCCCTAGGGAGCTCTTTATATGCGATACGTAAAGAGCTCTCTAGGGCCTAGGGGACAGTTTACTGTAATATATAAAGAGCCTCCTGGGGGGGAAAGAGGGGGGGGTGCTCCCAGATAGCTCCCTGGGGGCAGCCCCTAGCAATAATAATTATCTTACTTTAGTATACTATGTAGTTTTATATACTAGCTATAGTAATTACGGGCCTTAGCTTACTATTAGTATAGTTGCATGTCAAATTTCAAGTGGTTTTGGTGGTTTGGTGGTTTGGTATTGTGCAGTTTTGCAGTTTGGCCCTTTACCGCCTAAAATCCTGCCCTACCTCTACGCAGTAGACACTACCTCTCCTCCAGGCAAAATCAATCAACAGGGTATTAACGACGCACTCACGTGACAACATGCCCCATAAACACACTTGAAAAGTTCAGCCACATCCCTCGACTAAACCAATTGCATTCAATTGGGATTTGATGTATAGTTGGATTGGAACACAATTATTACTTGGCATTCTACTATAAATAAAGCGGTTGCCTAAATTTCTTCAAGTGCTCTGAGTGAAACAAGCGAATGCCCCTTCCCATTAGATCGATGAAAGTTCGCCGTATAATGGCCATGTGCGAATATGCATAGGACAATCAGCGTTTTGACATGGGGCAAAGATACAAAGAATTCAGTCTCTCGCATATCTGTGTTACGACTAATAAAACTATCGGTGCGCTTTTACCAATCCCAGAACTACCATCTCCAATTCTCAAGGTCCCCCAGACCCACATCATGCTGAGATTGAATTTACCTGAGTCTATCAAACCGTATTCTCAATATGGCTGGTTACCTGGGGAGTCTTGACGTCCAAGATCCCCTCTCCAACTTTAGAAGCAGCCCCCTCCACGACTCTCCTCGACTCAGCATCGATGAAGAGTTGCGGACGCTCCGCTCTGTAAGTGGCTTATCCCCAAAGATAAAGACACCCGAATTATGTATATAAGTCTCGTCCATATCTTCCAGAGTGCGGCGTGATGTCTCGGGGTAGAAGCAAAGACGATTGGAAAATACGAGTAGCAGATGATGCCGAAAACTGTTTGAATGCTTTCTTTTCTCTAGCTCGCGGAAAACTAATGACTTCCTCAAGTATAATCTCCAGTGAAGTGTGTCGACACCGATTGTAGTGAACTGCGTCACAATGAACCCTCCCATCCAGTTCGTTGAAGTTGCTGCTGCTGCGCCGCGCGTACGCGACCCCAATGAGTTGACTTCGGAATAGTAGACCCATGGAACCTGAGGCATCTGGTCAATGATGTAGTGCCAAGTTTGAGGAGTCTTGACTTACTTTTGCATAACTCATTCCGTAGAAGAAGTAATACAGAAAGAACATGGATGTTGTAACAGCCCGCATCTTCACAACTGTATTAGTCCCGAGAAGCAAATTGAAATAGGTTTAGTTGTCCTCACAGTTTTCTTTTTTGCTGGATCGCCTTCACTTGCGTGCAGATACAGCCCTGCGACGAGATGGCAACAGAATGCAGCGCCCAAGTAAGATGTGCCGTTGCAGGCTGTCAATAGTCGGCTCATCTGTTAGTCAAATCCCACACTCTGTTGCAGTAAAGTCGGCAGATAATAACCTTGGAAATATGTCAGTATTGGGTTTCAAGGTACGTTGAGCGGGGAACCCCCCCCCCCCCCCCCCCCCACCCCCGCCTCTGATGCATTGACCCCACTGAATCGCTGCATAAATTATGTTCCGTATGACAACACAAGACGCCGAAAGTTTTGAGTTTTGTCCCGAAACAACAGAACATCCATAACAGGAGTCCCGTCTTTGCGTTCCTGGTATATTGTGGTCTTGATAAACAGGAATTAAAGGTTAATGAACCGAGAAGGTTCGAAAGGTTAAATCTCTTGCGGGATATAATATTATTAGCCGGCTTAGGGCAGCCCTTGAACTTACCTTAGGCTACTATATCCTGAATTAAGCGAGGCGGCTATTATACTCGAACTAAGTCGGTACAGTTAAAAAAGTTCGTTTTTATATAAGAGAGAGTGTAGTGCAAGGGTAATAGGGCCGAGACTTGAGATAATCGTAAGGTAGACTGAGTGCTATATAATAGAAAGGTGGGAAAGAGTAAAAGGATATCGTCAGGACCATGTCTCACCGGATGAAGGGATAATTAGAAAGAAGAAAGTTAAGATTAAAAGGGAGCGAATCGGCTATAAATTAGGCAGGGACTAGAGAGTATTATAATATAGAGTTAAAAAGCTTTTCTTAGGATTGAAATCAAATACTGTAAGGCTATTTTTCTCTACCTTGTATCTATATACTAGGACCAGAATTCTAGACGAGGAAACCTAACCATGGGTGCTCGGTATTACCCGCGGATTAATATATTTCAGCAATTATGAACTGAGAACACTTTTCCTTATAATCATATTACCTTCCTATATATCGTCTCCAAATCTGGATCTATTATTATTGTATCTCGAAAGTCGATAACTTATTATTACTCATAGTAAAGACTCCAAATGTTTTTCTTTAAGTTTTCCGTCGACCGCTCTCTATTCCTGCCGATTTCAACTATCTGCATTATACTACTAAGCCTTTTGTGTCCCTGCCATGGTTCTAGCGTCTCTAGTTCTCGCGGACGACAATCGACGTCGACGGGTATATCTACTTCTCGAAGCACCAGAGCGACCAGTTCGACTAGCAGGGCGCTTTTGGTTTCGCACAGTATATCAACTCCATCTAGTTGGTCTATATCGACCCTTAGTCGAACTACGTCAACTTCAATCCATAATAAATCTACAACAAGTCATCCAGCCTATACATCGTCTCCTCCGCCTCCTCCGCCTCCTCCTCCGCCTCCTCCACCACTTAATACTCCTCCGCCTCCTCCGCCATTACATAATCATGAACTTCAATGACATGACCACCTGCGATATCATCAGCTCGCTGAATTACATTAAGGGGGTCATCATCTTCCGTTCCAATATACTCAGGCTCCTCAACTGCATCAAGGGGACCATTAATTTCTACTGCTACATATCCGATCTACTGAACCATATCTAAATAGTACCTAATTTCAACTGCATCAAGGGGACCATCCATTCCTATTACTATATATCCGACCTACTGAACCACATCTAAATAATACCTAACTTCAACTACATCAAGGGGACCATCCATTTCTACTGCTACATATCCGACCTACTGAACAATATCTAAATAGTACCTAACTTCAACTACATCAAGGGGACCATCCATTCCTACTGCTATATATCCGACCTACTGAACCATATCTAAATAATACCTAACTTCAACTGCATCAAGGGGACCATCCATTCCTACTGCTACACATCCGACCTACTGAACCACATCTAAATAGTACCTAACTTCAACTGCATCAAGGGGACCATCCATTCCTACTGCTACACATCCGACCTACTGAACCACATCTAAATAGTACCTAACTTCAACTATATCAAGGGGACCATCCATTCCTATTGCTACATATCCGACCTACTGAACAACATCTAAATAGTACCTAACTTCAACTATATCAAGGGGACCATCCATTCCTATTTTTTTTTTTTTTTTTTTTTTTTTTACAAATTCAATCCATGATAAATCTACAACAAGTCATCAGGCCTATACATCGTTATCCTTACCTACCAGGGGAAACTATATGCAACTTCAATCGCATGATAAATCTACACCAAGTCATCGCAGGCTACAGCATCGTCATCCTTACGCTACCAGGGGAACTACGTCAACTTCAATCCATGCATTATACTACTACGCCTTTTGTGTCCCTGCCATGGTTCTAGCAGCATCGTCTAGTTCTTGCGGACTACCATCGACGTCTACGGGTATATCTACTTCTCGAATCACCATAATAAATCTATACCAAGTCACTCCAGCCTATATATCGTCATCCTTACCTACCAGGTGGAACTACATCAACTTCAATCCATGATAAATCTATAACAAGTCATCCAGCCTATACATCGTCATCTTTACCTATCCCAGGGGAACTACATCCAACTTCAATCCCATAATACAAATCTTACACCAAGTCATCCAGCCTATATATCATTATCCTTACCTACCAGGGGATAACTACGTCAACTTTAATCGGATGATAAATCTTATACCAATTCACCTAGCGCCTAATACATCGTCATCTTTAATTACCAGGGGAATACGTCAACTCTCGGAACTCATATAACCCTTGCCTTCTATCTACTGGGGGGGAATTACATTAAGTCGCTCGACTACTATAGCGTCCACCAGTACAGTAACTTCAAGTACTAATACATTTACCGGCCTCCTCCGCCTCCTCATAATTCACCACCTCCTCCGCCTCCTCCTCCGCCTCCTCCGCTCCTCCGCCCTCCTCCGCCCTCCGCCTCCTCCGCCTCCTCCGCCTCCTCCACCTCCTCCGCCTCCTCCACCTCCTCCGCCTCCTCCGCCTAGCACGACAAAATCGACAACGACTACTAGCGCGTCAACATTGATACCGCCGATCCCGTCAACAGACATCTGTAGTGAAAGTAATGATTGCGACGGCTCATCATGTGGACTCGAAGAAGCCCGATCTCTCCAAGAGCTAGCTTTACCTGCTTTGTTCAAGCGTGTAATGAGGGGTCCAGAGGATTACGGCGGCGATGTTACTAGATTTTTCGTAACAGAGATATCTACTGCAAGGCAAGCATTCAAATTATTGAATTATGGGGGGCATGGGGCAGCCGCTAGGCTAGAATATTTTCGAGATCAGGATCTTACTACTGGCGTAATTGGCCTTTTTGGGTGTACTTCGATTATCGTTATATCCACAGAAGCCGTATGGGTGTCGCATTGGTGGGAGATTCCTACCTTTATGGTACAAAGTTTCGCCGATTTTCGAGATCAGATGCTTATACCCCTAGTCGAGGGAGATGGAGATAGAATACAGGGCCTTGGCGGGCTCACCGGCCCTGGACAACCCTTTGAGTCCTTGAATGGGCCTAAAGCCTTTATTGTATCCGTCAGGCAGGATGATGGTCAAAGTATTTTCGAATATGCGGGTAAAATTAATATAGTGGAAGTTAAACTCAGAGCGCTAATGCCCGGTATTGGTATTACAAGATATAAGTACAGAAGGAATAAGGACGGAGCGAGAAGTGCCAGGTCACCTCTCGGGAAAGTCCTTATTCAATACAGCGCTACTGAACCAAACAACTGGAGAAAATACAGGATTTGGGTGGAGGCTCAGGAGGCGCTTGAAGAGTCCTGGCCGGCGGCAGATACCAGTAGAAGGAGCTCGACAATCAGCTCTTCCGGCTATTCTACTAGCACCTCTATCAGCACCTCTATTAGCACCTCTGCCAGCAGTTCTCCGGTAGAGGTAGAGACAACTTCATCTACTCCATCGACATCTTCGTCGGTAGCTCCTACCTCGACGATGAGCTCATCCCAAACGATTTCGACCATAATTCCGGCGGGTGCTGTACCATGCCCTAGTTTAGGAGATTTTAATACGCTGCCCTGCCCGGACGGTGAAGACGAATCTGTCGCAGTAATGGGAGAAAATCCAGTAGCTAGTGGAGATGGGTTTGCATATAACCTGCTCTCTGCCTGTGATACTGCTCCAGTTACTGTAACACTTACCTGGTCTGATAATACGATATTCGTCAAGACATTAGGTCTTCCGTCTGACCATAGCAACGCGTTTGATACACCTGGAAATCGGGAACCATGCTTATTTTGGTCCGTGGCTGCTGCGATTTCGATTCCGGCGGGTGCTGCACCGTGCCCTAGTTTAGGAGAATTTAATACGCTGCCCTGCCCGGACGGTGAAGACGAATCTATTGCAGTAATGGGAGAAAATCCAGTAGCTGGTGGAGATGGTTTTGCGTATAACCTGCTCTCTGCCTGTGATACTGCTCCAGTTACTGTAACACTTACCTGGTCTGATAATACGATATTAGCCAAGATATTAGGTCTTCCGTCTGATCATAGTAACGCGTTTGATACACCTGGAAATCGGGAACCATGCGTATTTTGGTCCGTGGCTGCTGCTTAGCTAGTATTAGAAGTTTGTTTGATTCCAGATCATGCTTTTATATATAATCAATTATATATGTAGAATCACGTAAGCTCATTCGAGCCTATTAAGGGGCCCGAACATGCAGGAATAAAATCGTGATGTCTTTTTTACTCTTTCTAATTACATATAATAGTAATACTATAAAAGGCTCAGTTCTATCTGAGCCTTATACTAGAATTTTATTCCGGAGTCCATTTGTCATTGTATAGGGACTTGTTGTGTTCACCGATGGGTTCCATGAAACAAAATCTGACACTGAGATATTGTACTGCGTCGCCACATCCTGGCATGCGTAACTTGTACTGTTTGACGTATAGTTTGTTAGTATTGGAGCTGTAACATACTGCGCACAGTCCATCCTGGTTCCGTTGGCGTAAGGAACAAAATTGCTCAGAGCAACATAGGTTTGGGTTGGAAATAAGCTTTATCAATGGTGTTAGTGGCCAATGTACCGTAAAAGCGGGCTTTATAATTTATGACCCTCTTGGATACTCTTGGGTCAAAATTTCATGAAACATGAAGTTCCATGCTGGAAAGGGATTTCGATTTACCGTTGCTGTCAATGAGTTGTTGAAAAAGGGACTATTTTTGAAGTTTAGCGTCTCCGTGAGTCTCGAGATCTTTGAACTTACGCTGTGGTGGTAGGTGCACTCGAAGTTGTCACACTACTCGGGTTCACCCAAGTGCCCCCAGGATTAGAAACGCAGATGACATATCCGACGTATTTTCCGATGTTCGTACATGACGTTCCAAGCTCCGGATTCCATGCCGTAATCTGAGAATATGTGATGTTGAATTGAGTCTGAATCGACGAGCATGTATCATTTGCTTTCACCGTATACGGGTTGCAAACTAACAGGCTCGGTATGCAAAGCGTGCCAGAAGTAGGAAAACTTCCACAAAACGCTGATAGCGAGTTGGATTTTAGGAGATCATATGTACTTATGCCTTTAGCCATGGAAATACTTTGGCAAGTATCCGAGCTGGAGATTTTGTAGGATGTTCCCGCACACGTAGGAACGGCTGAGGAAACAGAGGATGGTCTTGACACAAGTCAGAAAAGGAACCAAGGTGAAGTTGAGGACTTACTGAATGACAAATGTTGTCGCTGTTGGTGGACTTGTAACAGTCCATCCTGTAGAGTGACACGAGGACGTCAAGGAAGAAAATGCAGTTGCCAGGTCTGTTGTAGAGGCCTGTCACGGCCTGGACAAGCTGTGGAAGTGGAAAGTGGTGTGTTTGTGTAAATATATATATATATGAATGATGGTGCCCTAAAGGCGGGGAAGAAGCTATATATATATCTGTATGTGGCCCGTGCGAAGCACGTGACAAGGCCATTGGCATCTCGAGTTGTGTTGTCAAAAGGACAAGAAACAGCCATTGCAACCTGCTGTCGAAGCTTGGGGAATTCAGACAGCGCTCGTGTTTGAACTTCTTTCGAACTCACCAACAGGTCCTACTATCTGTTGATTTGTAGGATGTATACCAAGTGCAGTCGCAATCACGAGATTGCAATATTGTCCCGCCCTGGATGTATCAGTCCAACTGTTCAAAGTCAAGTATTTAAAAAACTTACGAATTTTGCAGACAAGTTGAATTAAATGCTTCAACGTAAGCTTGGGCCAGAGATGCAGGTAGATATTGCGTTCCTTGAGGCGAGGGCCAGTACGTGCTTCCACAAGCTCCTGCGATTCTTCGTTCCCATGTTGCCAAGGCAATGGAGCAAGTTGTCGTGCAGAGTTTTGCCAGCTGTGTAGCGTTGAAAAAAAGGGAATCCCAGAAAGCTTGCTTCCTTGGAATAACGTGATGGACGGATCGCACGTCACGGCCTGGTTGAGTACTGCAAGACAAGTGCTCGACACGGTGGTATTAATTGAAGCCTGGGTCGCGTTCACCAAATGGACTTGAGCCGTGGCTGTCGTCCAGATTAAGCTTTGCAGCAATGCACTTATGAAGATATTCATCTTGCTGTAGTTGTTTAACACAGCGACTCCTAGACAGAGCAAAAAAAGACGAAATACAAATAGGGGTTGTGGACTCGGACAGTGCATTCTCACCGAGGCCCATGAGCAGGGTTATTACCATGCCCTGCATGTTTCCTAGAAGACTACGAGGATATGTGTAAAGTTCCCATTTTCCGAAATCCGTTGAAATGTTGAAGCGAGGCTCGAGAGCAGATGTCACTATACGCAGGCCCTAAATGCCAATATTTACCCCACGCTTACCGTGCCACGGAATATCTCCTGCATTAAGGGTGCTTCCCCGGTTCCCCTCACTCACGCTACTCCCCCCCCCCCCCCTAATTAAATTTAATAGTGGGTCCGTGGTAGGGGTATTTACAGGGGGTTCGACAGGGGGTTCTACAAGGACTAATAGCCAATTAAAGAAGTGTGGCTTATTACGTAATATCAAAACACCAAAAAGTTGGTATGCAGTTGGCCCTCTATCTTCTTCTCTATATTGTCCTACGTTCAGGCCACCCTTAAGCGGTTGGCTCGCAGGGCGCCTGAAAAAATACTGGTCACGTGAGGAATACCAGAATCGCCCCCTTCTAGGGAATCGCACATCGGAACGCGATTACGTCCAAATCCTTAGGGCGCAGCTGGGGATTAGAGAGGAGAAGCTCAAGTACCTTTCTCTCTATTTTAGTAGTTCTGGAATACAAGAGGCTTTTCTTGCAATTTTTTAAAGCTCGGAGGGAAATCTGAAGCTAGCAGTTCCATAGAAAGTACTAAGAAAAGAAACCCTGACCTTATATTACTCTCCTCTCTTTCTTCTCTTTATTACTATAGATCCTCCCCGCTTTTATACTACCTGTAGGCAAAACCGGCCTGCTTCTGACTTTATTACGGAACGGGCTAAGGTATATAAGAGCTGTAATTACTATTGAATCTGTATTTCCTCCTTTTTCTAGCTTGACTAACCAGTTAATAGGCCCGGTCAGCTACTAATTATACCCAGCGGTACCCTGCCTTACAAGAACTCGATCCAAATACCCTTCCTCCCTCCCGGTAATAATAACGGTCGATTACGGACGTCTCTGCGGACGAGCCAGCCCCACGGTACCAGCGACGGATCCGTTAACCGTCCGTTGCGGCCCTAGTTCGTATTATAGAGGACCCTCCTGCCGACTCACCTACTATACGGCCTCCTACCTTCCTCTTCCGCTTCCGGCCAGCTCCTGTATATATAACCGGTCTGCTTACGGGTTACTATATAGCTTGCGGAGCCCTCTATTTTGGCTATACGGATAATTACTTTAAGGCCTGTTATAAGAAGAGCAATATTATACTTCCTCTAATCTGCAAGTCTCCTCTATATCTCTCTTACCTCTTTACGGGTAATAACCTTTTCTACCAGGCCTTCCGGACAAATATCCAGATATATAATTATACTTTTGCTTTTATTATTACGAGTACAAGATCTAGGGCCTGGAAGGCGTAGTTAGACTGTCTCTATCTCGATAATTCAAAGCTAAAGAGAGAAGAGGATCCCGAAGGAGCCTCGGATCTAAATAATCGCAAGCTACGTACGGGCCCACGTGCTAGCTTAAGCTCGGGGTCACGTGTAATGATCAGGTGACTACAGATGCCTCGCTCAGATGCCAGATGCCTCTCTAGCTCTAGTCTAACCCCTACTAGTACCGTATATCGTAACAACCATAATATTACCTCTTCCCTTAAAGTAAGCTTGTCTCCGAGCTTCGAAAGTCCCTATTAAATTTCCAAGTCACAGGTCACATATTAAAGGCCAGGGCCTTTTATATATGACTTTAAAGGATTTCCGTCCGTATTATACGGTTCCGGTAGTATATTATTCTTGGTATAGTCTAACTAATAGGGGAGATTCTGGGGCGGTCCTGGCTATTCGGGGTTCTTATTATGGAAGCTCTAAAGAGCTAGGGCGCTATTACTTAATAAGGAAGCAGGATACTACTCCGGATCTGGGTCCTATCCTTTTTACTAGACTCGGTACTTTAGCTTCCTATAAAGCAGTTTTACTACTTATACCTTTTGAACTTTGTATTCCGTTTCCCCGTCTTATAATTCTAATAGCAGAGGCTCCGGATTTACTTATCCGGAAAGGAAGTTACCTGGATCTTTATATAGCTTCTCTATATAAAATACCGGATATATTCTTATTAATTCCGGAAGCTTAAGCCTAAAGAAATATCCTACTTATTCCAGGATTTCGTATGGTTCTTCTATTTAGTAAGCCAGCTTGCGGCTCGGATAATTATTCTTCTAGTACTTGGTAATAATTCATATCTTGTCTCCTATTCCGAAGTTTACTAGTTAGTAGTATTTATTAGCTTGAGTAATATAATATTCTTATACTTATATTATATTCTTTTATATCTTTTGCCATAATTTATAGAGCCGTATTACTAGGGCCTTTGCCTTCTATCTATTTAGTTCTTCTTTTGGGATACCCGATTATACTTAGGTTTTCTAGTTAAATAATATCTGCGGTTTATAGCCTTTCTTTATAAGAAATAGGGATTGGCCTATAGTCTTATAAACTAGAGCTACTTACTAGTAGTTAATTATTATTACTTATTTGTCCTAATTATCCTAGTAGTAATTTATATAGGGATATAGCTATTAGTTAAAGTACTAGTTAATAATCTCTATTTAGCTATTAGTTTAGGAATAATTAGTAGTTAATAACTTGAGCTTTATACTAATATATTTATAGAACTTGCTTTAGAAATCTAATATAAACTAGGGGCCTTAATTAGATATTATAGTTTCCGGGATACTAACTTAATAAACTATATAAGTAAGAAATAGGAATACTAATTCTTTAGTTATTATTATATCTCGGATAGGAATTATAATAAAGCACTTACCTAGATAATTAATAAAGATTACTACTATATTATACTTATTTCTATTCTTTAAATACTTTTTGAAATCTACTAATATATATTACTAGAGGTAGTTAGGAACTAGTAATAGATATAAGAGCCCTGGCTTCTTATTTCTAGAGACGTGGGATTATTAGTAAGTATAGTAGTTATTCTTATACTAATTAATATTTATATCTTAGCCTAGCTAGTAATAGCGGGCCTAAAGAAGCTATTAAAACTTGGCTTGTTTTAGATATCCTATTAGGGGCTATATATATATCTCCTAAATAAGGGTAATATATAAAAGTATTTCGGATATTATTATATTATTAGATATAAATAGTTTACTATATTATAAGAAAAAGCTATTTTATAATATTTAAGTATCTTTTTTCTTATTTCTTATCTTATCTTATAGCTTTTCTAGCTCTAGTAACTCTCGGTTCTTACTTAATAGCTTATTTACTAGCTAGATACTATTATATTAGGTTTCTTTCTAAGCCGGGTTTACTAAGGCCTTAATTAGGGCTAATTAGAAATCCTATATAATATTATTATTAATCTTTTATTATAGGAAGAGAATTTGGGTTTAGTAAGCTACTATTATCTTATTCTGGGTAATTATATTCTTATATTTCCTATTTAGGATATCTGCTTATTTATTTAACTTGCCTGCCTAATATATAAGCTTAAAATAATAATAGAAAAAGTACTTTACCTAGTAAGCTTATTTTACTAAAAGCTTTTTTATAATTATAAAGTATTCGAGGGCTTAGTAATCTGAGTAAATTATAAAGAATACTTCCTATAGGCCTTCTAGCTTCGCTTACTATTTAGTTAAAAAAAGAATAATAATAAGTATTTCTTTATTATAAATATTATAGTTTAGTTTTATTAATTATATAGTTTTAGAGAAAAATACTACCGGGTACTAGAGTTCTATCTAGAGGTCTTATTATAAGAGAATACTAGCTATAACTCTATTTAATATATCTGTTTTAACTATAGTAAGAAGATTTGAGTTATAGTAATATAGAATTAGTATTAAGAATATAGCTTACTTTAGTTTAGTAAAACCTTCTTAATACTAATCTATTTACTTAAACGGAACTTCCTTATATATTAGAGCTATTAGGGGCTTTATTATATAGCTATATTCTGTAATAAAGTACTAATAAAAGTTATAAAAACCTAGAAAGCTTTATATTTCTTTAATTATCTTTAGTAATTACTAGTTTTTAATAACTACTATCTTATCTAGATCTATTTTAATATCTCTAGTAAAGATAATAAAGCCTAGGTATTTTATATAAGTAATCTTAAACTTTAATTTCTTAATATTTACTTAAAGGCTAGTATCCCGTAATTACTAAAGGACCTTTTATATATGGTTTTTATACTTTAGGGAATTATTCGAATAAATTAGAATATTATTTAAATAAGTTATATAAAAGATATTAAGGTAATTAAAGAAAATATTATTTATATATCTCTAATATATAGCAGGGCTATTAGTTAGGTCTTTCTAAAAAACCTTATATTTATAGGCCTTATATCTCGTATAAAATATTATAAGTTCTTCTAATTCTAGGTCTATTTAGATCTAATAAAATACTTATTAAATATCTAGCTTTATATAGACCTTGGCTTAAACTAGCTATATAAGAGTCTTATAAATAAGAGAAAAAAAATAATAGTTCTTTTATATTAAGTTATTTAGCTTATAATAATTAATACAGAATTAGAGAGCTCTATTAGCCTTTTTTATAAAAAGGATCGGGAATATAAAAGGAAACTGGCTTGGCTTAATAAAGCCCTATTAGAGGTTTTTTTTAAGGAAGTACTTGATCTCCTATAGTTTATAGGTCGACTATTAATAGAGCAGGAAATACCCTAGGCTCTCTAGGCCTTTAGGATTATTAATCTAAATCTTGTAGTTATATAATTAATATAGGAATAAGATATTTAATACTTTCTTTAAGAAAATGTCTATGAAATCCTTAAACTTTTCTAGTAAGACTTTTACTAGCTACTATAGCTCTATTTCTCCTGGCTATTATTTGCCCGAAATAAACTTGTTCTCTTATTATAATTCTAGTTCTTTATTAATCTCGAAAAATAATATTATAAAGAAAAAGTTCTCCTTCTTCTATAGGTTTATCTAGAAAGTAGCTAATAAGATATCTATAATATTAATTAAGGGCCTTAACTAGATCTTATAGCTTTCCTTTAGATAGTATAAGTTTAATATCTCTATTTCTAGCTTAGGAGAAACTTCTATATTTCCTAAGGCTACTTGTATTTCTTTATAATATTAAGCTTAATTCTTTTACTATATATGGCTTTCTGAGCCCGGCTTAGGAAAAGAATAAGAGAGTTTCTTTTTTATAAGCTAAG